GAACTAAGTTTATTACAAAGCAGTGGCTCAGAAACCAACTTTATTGTTGTAATTATATCATGTTATTAACTGTGTTCATAAATACATGGTCATAATTAAGGTGGTCTGAAGTGGTWCTATACTGAAACGTATTTTACTGGACTTTATTTCTAACATTTTCCTACATCCCTCCCTACATGCCAGTCTGTTGCAAACCTGTAGAAATCTAATTAAAGTTGTGTTTTCCATCTGTGACCTGCTCAGAACTACAATAAACAAAGCTTCATGCTGACAGTTCTCTGTAATTTGCTGTGTTTGTGTTTTAATGTGTGGCTGAATGTTTGCAGGGTCACCAGGTTATCTAAAGGCTGCCAGGTCGAGACGAGGCTCTTCATCTTTCTGATCACTGAGGAAGATGAGAAGACAGAGCTGAAGTGTGTTGCTCAGAACCGAGGAGGGAGACAGGATGTTATCGCAATGCTTCAACTGGAAGGTGACTTTTCAAAATAAAAGCTTTCTTCTAACACTTTAATGAATATAAACCTTACATTCAGATGCATGGAGCAGCATCAGAGCCAGTCGAGTAAACAAGTCATTAACTTTAACATGATGTGTTTTCACAGATTCTACATTTACTTGGGTTGTTGTTGCAATGGTGACCATTTCCTGTTTCCTGCTGGTGGTCTCTATCTTCTTCTATATCCTCTTCAAACCTAAAAGGAAAAAGAAAATGGATTATTTTCTGGCTCGGCAGAACAGCAGCTTCTCATTTTAGTTTTCTTTTGTGCCTCACACTCCTTCCCTCCAGAAAAAAAAATCTATCTTAAAGTGTTTACATTTAGTTTTGTGGAAGTGATTCAGTTCAGTGTGTTTTATACAAACACTAATTTACAACAAAGGTCATTTCAGGGCACTCCGGGAAAAAGTTGAAGTTAAATCTACCTACATGCAGTCTGACTGAAATCCTGTGATTTTACTGATGTTTCTCTGTATGAACTCAGTGGAACTTGAGTCAAGTTTTTTGTCTTAATATGTAAAACAAGGATGAATATATTGATTTGATTTGATTTATTTATTTAACAGGAAAAGATTACTAAAAATCAAGCCTGACTCAGCATAATTGCTGTTTTACAG